TCCCACTCGGCCTGCCCCCGGTTCGCTTGGGAGGGCCCCCCCCCCAGGGGGGGCGGGGGGAGGTGGTGAAAGTCCAGCCCAACTTTGGGGGGGTTTTTTCCCCCCCTTCGTTAGGGGGGGGGGGGGGGGGGGCGTGATGCACGCGATCGTCGCTCTGTCGTCTTGCAGTTTTCATCGCGTGTGTGTGTTCGGAATGCTGCCGTGTCCTTTGGTGGCTTCGTTCTGTCTTTAGTGGACTTGGCATTTTTTGAGGTTGGCAGCGTGAAAGAGTTGGACGACTTTTGCCTTTCCCTGTCAGACCACGGTGGCTGTTTCACCCCCCAATCTACGGAGATTTCGTTCACTCTTGCTTGGTTTGTGTATCGTTTGCCTCGTAGATCGGGTCCGTTTTCGATGAAATTTCCTGTCGCGCTCGCCAACTCAGTTACCCGCCTTGATGGGTCTTTTCGAAACGACAGACGTTTTCTCCGCATGTCCCCTCCGTGTTTTTTTTGTCTGAAACGCGTCTTGACGGGAAACATCTGCCGTGGCGCCCGCGCGCTGCAACAATCGAATCGCCGCTGTCGCAGGGAGAACGGTTCGAGTTTACGTCGGAGAACCCATTGACGTCGCCCCAATCATCGAGAAATGCCGGGTGAGAAGCAAAGGCGGATGGCTTTGCAGGAACAATGCTGTTGCTTTTTGACACGGTATAGTACCGTGGCATCTGACTACACGACGTGCTGACGGAGAGAAGGAAAACCAGGGGAGGTATTCAGGGTGCTGTGGGGTTTTATTTATTACTTCACGCTCTGGATAACCTCCTAAGTTTGGTCAGAGCTCATGCAAACGCAAAGAGCAGTTTACGCAACGACCTGCGGGCCCCAGCGTGTAGCCAACGGGTACGTTCTACCATCTCGTAATTCACACAGCCCTATTCCTGTCTCCTCGACCGTGCCGCAGCGCAAACCCTCCCCGTCGATATCCTCACCCTCAACTTGTCGTTGGTTGCGCGGGTGCAATTTTGTTCCGTGTGTCTACCCCCCCCCCCCCCCAAAGAGGCGCGCGGAGGGTCAGGGCCTCCAGGGAGCAGGCCGGGGAGAGGACGCTACCGAG